GCTGCGGGGGGGGCTCGGGGTGGCGAGTTCGATCTGCTGCCGGAGAGGGAGATGGCGAAGTTGAGGAAGGGAAATATTGTTTGGAACTTCGTCACCGCGGGCCAGCACATAGGGGACCAGGCAAAGATGCACGGGGACCGGAAGTTGCGATGCAACTTATGCGGCCACTTGTTTCAAGGGGGGGCGTCGAAGGCGGCGCGGCATTTCACGCAGTCGAAGTACAGCAAGGTTGGGGGGATGAGAGTTCTTTCGGAACTCTGGAACGACACGGACTACACGTTCGTGCCAACGACTGCTCAACGGGTCCAGCGGTGGATGGCAGCGGAGGGGATACGGGACCAGAGAGCGCCTGCGGGTGCCTAGGCACGGCGGATGGACGAGGGAGGGAGGGACAACATACAAGACGTCCTCGATGAGGATGAGGCCCGTGAGCGTGGGGAGGGGGAGGGGGGGAGGGAAATGACGCCGTCAGAGAGCCTGACCTGCCGGGGGAGGAGATGGTGATGGCGTCGAGAGGCGTTGGGCGAGCGGGTCCCACTCAGAGGGAGACGGGACCCGAGTCGGACCGCACCAGGAGGGGGAAGAGGAAGGTGGGGATGCGACAGTGGACGAGGATGATGCGGGGGAGACGTTGAGGGAGAAGAGGCCTCGTCAGGCGACACTTGACGAGATGTATGCCAAGGAGAAGTTGGCGGAGTTTCATGACGCCTGGCTACAGTGGATCTACGTGAAGGGGTTTGGCATTCAACGCCTTCCGTGGTCCCGAGTTTCAGAGGGTGCGCCGCGCGGCAGCGAGAGTGCCCCGCACTATCCAGTTCCGCTTCCCGTCGTACAGGTTCACAGCGGGCGCTGGCATCCCTTCGCAGAGGGCGAAGGTGGCGACGATGGTGAGCCATGTGCAGGCCGCTTTCTGGCACACTGGCGCCACCATTCTTTCAGACGGGAGGAAGGCACGAAGCTAAGCTGCTCGTGAACTTCCTCGCTGGTGGCTCCAATGGCGCATTGCTATATGCAACCGTCGCACGTGACGCCTCTATCCGTGATACTCGGACATCGTATATCGTAGGTGGCGCGCCATCATCATGTCCTTCCCTGCGAAGGACGTGATCGGCTTCTGCACGGACTCCGCCAGTAACTATACGGCGGCAGCGCGCAGATTTGCGACCGACCCGGACCCTGACATCAGGAGGATCACTTGGCTCCCTTGCTCGACCCATGTCTGCAACTTGATGTTGTCAGATATCGAGACGCGAGTGGAGTGGGTCACAGACACCATCCTTCGGGGTCGAGCGCTTGTGCGATTTATTAAATCGCACGGCGCTGGTCACGCCCTCTTTAAGAGGGTGAGCCCTCACGTTCAGCTGGTCGAGCCTGTGGAGACACGCTTTGCATCAGTTTTCCTGATGCTGACGTGTCTCCAGGGCCGACGAGACTCCTTGGAGGCCATGTTGCACGGGGATGCCTGGGCGAGCATTCCGTGGGAGCGCAGGCTTCTCTCCCAGGCGATGTGGGTGCAGCAGCAGATCCGGGACGGGGAGTTCAAGACCCGCGTTGACTACGCCATCCTTGTGATGACCCCCGTCCACCAGATGTTGCACAGGATGGATAAGGGGGGGATGATGATGTCCACCGTGTATGCGTGGAGTTAGCAGGTCTTGCGTCTGATGAGGAGGTGCGGGGTGCCAGAGGACATGGTCGAGCCATGCGTGCGTGAGGTTGACATCCGCAACCTCCACAAGCTCGAGCCCGCACATGCCGCAGCCCACCTCCTCAACCCTCGTCGATGGGGCCTGAGGTATTACGAGTCAGTGGTCAGGAGCGACGCCGACACCCGTGTCGTCGAGGAGTGCGACAGATTTCTCCTGGCCCAGACCGGCGGCGATCCCTCTAGCGTGCTGTACAGGACAGTGAGGAGCCAGATTCGCGCTTTCCACGCCAGGCGGGGACATTGGGGAGTGTCGGCCCTATCCGATGCATAGGGGGAGGATTGCAGAGGGGACCGCGAGACTGAGCTATGTGCTGCATGGTGGATTGACCATGGCCGCGACCACCCGGAGTTGCGCACCATTGCGATCCGCGTGATACACTTGTGGACGTCTGCCTCTCCAGCGGAGAGGAACTGGGCGCAGCACGAGCGCATCAACACGGCGAGGCGCAACAAGCTTGGCTTTGCCAAGCTTGCACAGCTATTTGAGATTGCCACCAATCTCAAACTAGCGGATTGCGCACGACAGGGTGGAGGCTACGTTCTGCCATGGGTTATGGAGACGGGTCAGGAGTGAGAGGCGGGACAGGTGGATGACGAGGAGGGAGACGAGGAGCCGGAGGTGTGGGGAGCGCGACCTGCCGACAGTGTTCCCCGCGAGGAGATGCAGCGGCAGATTGTTGCTTTCCGTGAGACCCGGCCTTCCCATCGCCGTTCGGTTGAGTCCATATTCGGCAGGAGGGCGACGGAGCTGCGACCGTACCCGGAGGGCGGGGATACTGCGCCCGCTGACGCAGCGGACGACGAGGCCGACGACGAGTGGACCGACGACGATGATGCACCCGTGAGTGGCGACGTGACGGCGGAGCGTGTGTATTACACCTACGGAGCGGGACGTGACGGCGCGGCTTCGTACACATCGGTCATCACCGATGATGTGCCATCGGGCGGACGGGCGAGTGCGCCGTCGACGGAACAGGCGAGTGCGATGGCCAGACACCGTCCCGTTGATCTTGCGGGTGGTTCGGGTGCCGACGTTCGTGTCGACGATTTGGGGGAGCACGCCCCACGTCAGGGCCTTCGATCTGAGGGCAGGCCTTGGGAGGTTAGGAGCGACGACGAGGGCGACGACGAGGCATGGGATGAGGAGGAGGAGGTGGCCCTTCAGGATCGATGGTTCGCTCCCTCGCATCATCCCATCGCGGCACCCACTGAGGGACCCAGGCGTTCGGCGAGGCTGGCCTCTGGAGCTGGGGGAGAGCGGACTCGCGACAGTGTGGGTCGTGGAGAGAGGACTCCTTCAGACGCCGGCATCCAGCGGGGCCCAGGCACGCAGGGGGAGGGGATGCCCTCCACAGGTGGTGGACAGCGGCCGCACGACAGCGAGGGTCGTGGGGGTATTAGCAGTCCTTCTGACGCTGGCGTCCGACCCCGCTCGCAGTCGCAGCTCCGCACGGACGACTTCGACATGGAGGGACTTGGAGCGAGCTTGGGAGATTTGAGTGCCCAGGGACGGGGATGCGGCTCGTCAGCGGAGGTGCGCACCGACGACTTCATTCTGCGGGGTGGTGTACAGTCTGAGGAGCGGTATGCCCGTCTAGACCGGCAAGCAGAGGAGCAGCTTGAGCGTATGCCACGATGGGAGAGTTTGCCGGCGTATCTTGAGGAGCAGCGTCGACAGAGGGAGTTGGAGACAGGCATACAGGGAGGCGGCGACGCTGAGGACCCAGGTCACTTAGGTGTCCATGAGGAGGCGGTGGGGGAGGAGTTTGCAGATGAGGGACAGGATGCCGACGCTGGAGGCAGGTCATCTGCTCGGCGACAGGGTGGTGCTGAGATTGGAGGAGATGAGGGGGAGGATGATGATGTGGCGGGCGGGTCCCCTCCACGAGGACATGCCACTGGGGAGAGTGGTGGAGACGGGGACACCGCGGGTCATGAGGGAGATGATGGGGCGGAGAGAGAGGACGAGCAGGCGGAGGATGATCCTTACCGTCTTGCGTTGGTGTTGAGGGACGCGAGAGTACCCCCCTTGCGCTCTGCTGCGGCGGGCGCGAGCACATTCTACGACGCTGACGCTTTGGCGCAAGCGTTGATAGATGACCCTTTCTTGCACATGGGCCGCAAGAGCGGCAAGACGCGGGCCCCTGGGAGGGTATATTCACCACCTCCATTCGTGGTGCAGAGCCCTCACTGGTCGGGTTCGTCACTCAGCGGCGCGAGAGGGAGAGAGTCCGGAGAGGCCGAGGTCGGGTCGGGCAAACGCAACGACAGAGGCAGAGATAGTGGGGGGTCGATGGCTCCACCGCCCGCACGGGCTACCGAGGAGGAGCGGCATGCGGGCGAGGAGACTCCGGCGCCGGGTGCCACGCACACCCGCGATTCCCCGCCCCCTGTTAGAGGTGGTGTGGGTGGCGGGTGGTCGGCTCATCGGAGGGTCAGCGATCGGTTGTGGGGAGATTACGATGCTGGGAGGGGTGTATTCGCGGGACGTACGTCGGCTCAGACGCAGCTTGCAGAGGGTGGGTCTGGTCGTCCGAGCCTTCAGATGGCAGGTCACGTGCTGGGTATGGGGCGAGTAGTGGCCAGGAGATCATTGGTCATCCCCATCCAAACTCCGGGAACATCCGCGGACATCCGAGAGGGACAGCGCTACTCATCGGGCGAGGAGGGGTTGTTGATGCGTCCCGGGGAGAGGCGACACCGGGGGATTGAGGATGTTCAGACCGTTGAGGCACTGGAGGCTCGGCTCACAGCAGATATCGCCGCCAGACAGGCAACTTTGGACGCGCTCCAGAGAGAGAGAGAGGAGATTGCTGCACAGGCCGCTGAGGACGACGACACCGGCACAGAGTCGGAGGCCATTGAGACTACGGTCCGCAGGCACCGAGCGGCCGTGGCAGCGGCAGCCGCTGCAGCACAGGCTGCGAACATCAACGGGGCTCAGGGCAAAGGTGGCGGAGGGAGGGGAGGGCGCACGAGGGGACCGCCTGGCCACCCGCCTTCTGGGAGAGGGCGGGCGCGTTAAGGAGGGAGATGACCGCACGCATCTTTTTTTCTGTAGTCTTGTTTTTTTTTTTTTCATTACGTTTTTGTGTTATTATTTTTGCTGCGTTACTGGACGCTGTGTCGGCATCCGTTGTTGCGTATTTATCTGCATGTTCTTCCATGAAGTTGACGACACCATATGTACATTAGGTTTTAGGGTTTTCGGCGGTATGGTACCGACATCGGGTGTAGATCTTCGCTTCATCCATGGAGATGATGACACCATGTGTACGTCAGGTTTTGTGGTTCAGGCGGTGTGGTACTGACGTCGGGTGTAGATTTCGGCTTTTGCGCCGACATCATGTGTACATTACGTTTTTTGTTATGGTTTTCCTTAGTTTCGGTGCTCGGTGTAGTTTTTAGCTTCGGTCGCAGTTTTCTGGCTTTAGCCTTGTACATACGCATTTCGATTGGAATGCTATTTGCATTCATTTGCAGATCTTTGTATTCCTCTTTCGACTCTTCCAATCTTGGCTTTGCATCTGAGTTGCTGTTGTCTGTCGTCTGATGTATGCTTTGTTGTTGTGATTGGTGTGAAATGTGTATTTCTTCGATGCAATGTGTGTCATTGTGTGTCCATGTCACGGTTCCCTCCAATTATGAATAAGTTGTTCATTTCGGATGTAAAATAAGAGTGATATGGTAAAGAACATGTTTCACACAAACTTCCAACAGTCAGATGTAGTGAAGTTATCGTGGGCCGCATTGTGATTGCGTGTGAATGTCTTGTTAAATTGCTATGCCAACTACATTCTGCCGTAAGATTGGTATGAATGTGTTGTTCCCTAAAACTCTTTCGAACCCCCCCTCTCGTGGATGAGGGTCACCCCAACCCAACCCTCATCCTATTGGAACCAACCCCAATTCGTCAACCAGGGTCAACCAGGGTCCTTGAGGCCCCCCCCTGACCTCAACGGCCTGCCTCTCACTGAACCTCGCTCCAACCGGCCCCTCAGGGGTTGAATATTTTTTTTTTTTTTTTTTCTGCTGTTCTAGACACCATTCCCTGTGACCCCACATCGACAAGACCGCGGTCGTGGGTGTCACCAATTTTCCCGGCCCACCATCCCTGACCCGCCAACAGGACCTCCCCGTTGTTTTTTTTTTTTTTTTTCTATCACTTCGAGGGCGTGCCCACCCTCACCCCGACCCCGAAACCGTTCTTCGCTCCCCAATCCACCCCCCAGATCGGCCGCGGCGTCGGCCGAAAAAACTCGGTCGGGCCGGCCGCGGTCGGGGGGCAACATAGCAAGGAAGGAATATCCACTATAATATTTTGCTTATAAATGAGCTCATCAAGATTTCTCGTCAGTCTAAGCATAATGCAGCATTTATATTTATTGACTTTGAGAAAGCATATGATCATGTGGATTGTTTATTTTTAGATAAATGTCTGGAGAAGTTAAACTTTGGGCCATATTTTAGGAGATGGATTAATATTTTGCAAAAGAATGCCACAACAAGAGTGATGGTCAATGGAAATGTAGCACCTCTCATTTCTCTTCAGAGATCTTTAAGGCAAGGTGACCCCATTGCTCCTCTTCTCTTTGTGATAATTATGGAAACCTTAGCTGCCAACATAAGACATTATAAAGACATCAGGCGTATCCTGGTCTCCTCTATTCCTGAGGAAGCAGTCCCAGTTTGTTCTCTCTTTGATGATGATCTCTCTTTGATGGTTGATGCTTCACACGAAAATTTTGAAGCCATAAAAACACTAATGGACACATTCTGTAAACTCTCTGATATGAAGGTCAATTGGGGGAATAAAACACTAAGATGGTGGATCCATCGTCAAGGTGTCAGACCCTCGGAACCTTCCTACATTAAGTGGGTGCACCATAATGAAACAATCAGAGTGCTACGAGTATCCCTTTCTATCACAGGTAAACCCATCTCTACCAATGAAGGGATTCTACAACAGGCAAGGTTGAAACTTGATTTGTGGAAGGATAAACAGACATCCCTGTTTGGCAATACCTTAATAATTAATAATATCATATTGGCCTCTATATGGTATAGATCGGCTTTTTGGGCTTTGGATAAAGGTAATCTTAAACTCTTCAGGAGACCGTTAGCGGCCTTCTTGTGGCGTGGGGATCATGAAGGGTTCCAATGTCATTAGCAGAGTGGCCTGGTCGTCCATTATCCAACTTAAAACTAAAGGGGGCCTTGGGATAATCAATCCCATATTCAAACTATGACTCTCTCTCTTCAGTGGATCAAACGCTTATATTCAATCCCAACACCCCTTGGTCTTTCCTAGCCTTTGAACAGATAAAAAGATTAGCTCCTCCGGTCCCTAATCACATAGATCCCCTAATGTGGCTGGAGAACCTTGCATGGTCTTTACCTAGAGGCTCTCAAGGGGACCAAAATCTGGAGGAGATCTCAGATAGGCAGGCAATTAGAAGGGACCTTAAGCGGGATCCATTTTGTATCACACTTATAAAAAATTGGAGAAAGATGCCTATCCCAGATAAAGTTTTCCCGACGAGATGGGAAGAAGTTTGTCAGCAACCGCTTTTCATTAGTACTTTTATTAGGGATAACCAAGGGTGTGTTCTACATTGTATGGATGCCCCCTGGAAAAGTTGGATTAACAGGGGAATAATAAGGTTTAGAGATATATGGAATCTAGAGAGCAGAGATTGGCGTTCGGCCTCGGATTTGCATGAGCGGCTTAAATATAGTCACCATCAGACTGCCGCTCTAGATTCGATAATTGACCTAGTCCCACGGGAGTGGATCAGAATCCTACGGAAGGGTCCCAAATTTATTGAAAATGATTGGGTAGCGTTTTATAATTTAAAAGGCGCAGTTGGTAACATAATTAACATTCATAACCAGAATCAAATTCTTCTATCAATTTTTCAAATTCAAGACGATGGCATTCTCTACCGGGGTGAACAGGAAGAAACTAGATGGATCTCGGACGACGAACTACTCCGGATTAAAATACTGAAGATTGATGAATAATGGTTTGCCTTTAGACCGGACACTCCTATCTCTCACCTTCCGTTTGACCCCCTTAGCTGGTGCTGGTCACTCCCTGGAAAACGTAGTCATTCTCATCCTAGAAAACTACACACCCTCATAGTCAAAGCATCCTATAGGATGCTCCGTCCCAGGATTAACTGAAAAGACCGTATTGAAGAAAGATGGCATAAGATTCTTTCTGTTAGTAAGGACGAGTTGAAAGGTATTAAATGGTTCCAAGCTTCTAAAACTAAACCAGCCAAAATTTCTTCTCTGCAATGGCAAATTGCTCATAGATGTCTTCCCACGAATAATTGGATCATTGATAGGTCATCTCTTGAACAGAAGGGCATTGCCTTCCCATGGTGTAAGTTCTGTAAATCAGCTTTTCCATCCAAGCTCATCCCCGAAATTATAGAGCATATTTTCCTCCAATGCCCGGGGTCAATCTGGCTTTGGAGATGGTGGGATAGAATCTGGAGTCAAATGAACACTTCTCACCCCTGGCCCTGGGAGTGGAAAGCCCTCCTACTGGAAATCATGGCATCCGGACCAAGGAGATGACTTCACAATCAACGTGTTCTTAATAAGTAGGAGAGTGATAACATGGGCAATTTGGACAAGGAGGTGTACCTTTGAAATGGAGGGTGCACGATTGGACGGACCAGAATTTACTGAATCTATCAAACAGAAGATACAAACTGTTTTAACTATCAAATGGGAACAAGTTAAAGAAAAATGTCAGTTCCTATCTAATCATAATGAGATCTGGGTTCACATTAATCAATTTAACAGAAGTTGGCTGGAAGGTGACCAGGGTGGGAGGCTGGGGAAGGTAAATTGGGAAGGTGGTCACGCAAACGCTCAGGAATCTCTTAAGAGAAATTACCGGCTAGTCTTTAATGATTGGACTACTGTTGACTCCTCTATCCCTCTAAAGTCCATGTCTGAATTTCCTGATTTCTTCCCTCCCCCAAGTAATTGTCTTGTGCCTGTTGCTTGGTTTGGATATTTAGCTGGTAATGTGCTTGGGATTCATGTTTATTTGGCGCCCATTAAGGGTGAAGAGGCACTATGCTAGTTCACTTTTTTCCTGTTGTTCGTGTATATCAGAGAATTAGTGCATTGACCAGTGGTTGCCAAATCACAAAAAAAAAAAAAAAAAAAAAAAAAAGTCCCCACACCCTTCTTTTGATACCAGTATTCCTATGCACATAGGCCCTTGTCTTGCCCCCTGCGTGCAGACCGTCCTCCTTACTGTTGTCCATACCATTGTCTTTCTATGATTGCTGTGACTGCTGGGGGGAACATGTCTGGAAATTGCTCGAAACGCCTTGGACGGCGCACAGGGGGTTTTACAGGACCGCCGGAAACTTGTGGTCTCTGTGAACACTCTCTGAAAGTTGGCTATCCAGATGGGTAACCGTTGCCACGGATCTCCAGACATAGAAAGATTATTAAGGTGGGAAGACACCTTATTGAATTGAGCAATTCCCAGTTGCTTAGCTGTCCAATCCCTTGTATCTCTTTCAGAAGTGTACAAACCCAGATTTTCTCAACTGATCAACATAAATCAGGAAAGGATGTTTCAGTACGTTTTAAAGATGGCTGGCTCACCACCACAAGTGAGCCCGTGCGGGGTGGGGTGTGTGCGGAAGGTAGGACGTATCTTGCTTCAGTTGTCGTTTCTTCCTTCCACACTTCCACTGCACGAGTGAACCCGTGCGGGCTGCTGGAGTGGGCTAGCTTGGACTCATGTCCATCTTCTTCTTCCATGAATGCTGAGTTCAACCTGCCGTCAGTTGCAGCTGCCTCGGAGATTGTCAGCTTGTGCTATGCTGACAGTTTTCCAGGGGTTGAGATTATCTGCGTCTATTCACGTCTTACAAAAACAAAACCAAAAAAAATTACGGTCTGTCCATTCCATGTTGATATAAGGGTCAGTTCCTCGGAGCTAATTCAGGGTTTAGGGTATAAATTTATAAATGACTATCGGCATTGGTTGTGCTTGTCATTTGGTTGCCTTTTAGGGGTCCGTGTGTACATCTTTCTGTACCCTGTACACAGCAAACCATAACTCCATGGACGCAGCGAGAGATAAAGTGGATCA